TGCGCACTCCAGTTTCTTGTTGGTGACTCTTCATGGCAGCTTTGTCCATTTACAAGGAAGATAGGAAAACCTAATTTGAAGGCATAATTCCATAATAGAGCTGAAGAAGTGGATCTGAGAGCAAATAGAAAAATGTCCAGCAGAATAGAAAATTCTAGGACTCTTTATTAACTATGTGGCAGATTAATTTAACAGTCAACAGCATTACTTTACATTTTCAGAAAACTATTTAAAGCAAATCAGACCATAAAAACACAATGTGATTGTATTGTCATTTTGAAGCAAAAATTAATCTTATTACAGGGACTTAAAGAACAAAGATGAGTATATTAAAAGACAAATTTAAGACAGGCTTTGTGATTTAATTAATCAATATTAATAAAACATACAAAAACAATACCACACACATACCACACTTTCATAATTGTGTCAAGATACTGCTGTTTTGTAGAACTTTTGAGAACAAAAATTATATTTTACAAAAATATAATTTGCATTTGCTGCATGAAGGACTTTGTATTTCCCTAAATTGTACAGTGATTTTTTTTTTTTTAACCCAGAAGGAATCACTACATAATGGGAGGTAGTTTTGACTATTTATTACTGTATATAACTATGGGACTCTTTAAATGAGAGTAGCTCCAACATTGGTAATCATATTGTTCCTCAATGTGAACATTTAGAGACTCCAAAGAAGTGACAGTGATATGAGTGGCTATGTGTGAATATAGGAAAATCATTCATCACTAGCAAAAACAGTAGATTCTTTTTTTTGTTACTGAAGTAGTATTTGAAATATGTATTTTCCTTTTGCCTTTGTCTTCAGTTTCCCAATTTGGAGTTCCTGCATTTTCATTTTTTGACCAAAATATTTGTCATTTTCCTAATAGGTCATTGTGAGGTATTTGTTACAAAGAAACAGTCACTTGCTACCATTAGCATATTCAGAAGTAAAACTGGCATTTTTATTCCTAGGGTTTAATTTCTAAAAACATTTAATAGGACATTTTAGGGCAAGAACATTTAGAATACCTATTCAAGTGAGAGGAAAAAAATTCAAGAATGAGAAAGTTAACCAGGGGGCCTCCCTGGAGGCACAAGTGGTTAAGACCAGCACCATGTGCAGTCCGCAGACTTTGCAGCAAGAGTTCGATTCCCCAGCTGGCTAGGGAGCAACACACATGGTGCAGCAGACCTCTCCTGTCTCGCCTGTTGCTCCCCTCAGCGGTGTACTTCAGTTGCTTGGTCTGTTCCCCACTTTGTCTCTGGTGAAACTTCTCACCCCTTCCAACCCCTGCACCTCTGGCCTGTACCCCAGCTCTTGTATGTATAAATAAATAAATATTAAGGAAAAAAGAAAGCTAACTAGGTATACACACTTATTCAGCAGCCCTTAAAATTCTCTAAACAGCTAAGGCCATGATTTTTGCTATGTGTACATAACTACATACAGAAACTGATCTTGTATTAAAATAGACTTGAAAAAAAATAGACTTATTTAATATGAATTGAGCAAACATCATTTAAAATGGTGCACATATTTCATGTATTTATACAATTCTGAGATTATTGATTCCCTCATTTTCTTTAAAATGTTTCCAGATCATGATACAGTTTTTTTAATGTACACTTTATTTGATTAATACTAAAAGAATAAACAGCAAATGAACTTAAGAATATGAAAATGGAATTTAAACTTAAAACTGAAAGTAAGTAAAAAATGTATATAAATAGATATATTGTAACTATATATTTGTCTATATTATATATTATTTGGTGTTACCGTATAGAATAACAGCTAAATAAAATAATCATCCTCTTATTCTTTAAACATAGATTATTAAAAATTGGTATGAGGCCAGGTTACTGAATATTTCACAAACAATTTCTTCTAAGAGTTATGTTTCATATTTACTAGAAAAGAGAACCATTTTACCTATTTTATATTTTCCTAGATTTCCATGGTGAACTCTATTTGAGATATGTTTGTTGTAAATATGTTTGGTTTTTCTGTAGTAATAACTCCATAAGTCTCTTATACATGGTATGTTTTTTAATTCTTATTTTAATGCTTGGGTGTACATTTTATTACAATTTATTTAAGAGTTATTTAATTATTACTGAAATTATTAAATTAAATTTTTGATGACATAGTGTAGAAGCAATATTTATATAAGGCACAAAAGCAATGTCCCTAAGATTGTTAATACTGAACATATCATAAGTAGTATTCATAATATTAATTAATCCTTTAATAACATTCTCTTCAGTACCTAACACTTAATAATATGTGTTTCATCCATTATTATAATTGTTTGAACATTATAGTATATTAATAATGATATTCTATCCTCTCATGAAATAAGTAATTTTTTAATATTTTTAAAATGTGTATTGAAATTAATAAAGAACAGAAAACTGTATACTCAGGTCAATAATAATAAAGATTAAAAAAAACAACTATATAGTTTCTCTTTTAATAGAAATTACAGTGCTTCCCTTCTCTTCACACTAAAGACTATAATGACACAAATCTATAAAAGGGATATTTTAGTATCACATCTGTCAAAAACAGTGACATAATTTAATTTGTTGCCATTGTTGTCAAATCAGATTTGCATGCTTATCTAAGAGCATATTTCTTCTAAGTTGTATGACTTCAATCTAATCTATAACCCACCTCCTCTTTCAAACACCTTTAAACTGAGTTCTCCGAAATATTTCTATAAGTTGACAATGGTTACCACTTGCATTTTACTTTGAGAGTAAATATAACTGTGGATGAAGAAGAACCTGACATAATCTGACTCATCAAACTTGCTTTGGTTCCAATAGCACAACAGGAGGCTATTGGAAATGGCCCCACCCCATCCCTGTGCAGAATAATTAAACTGAGATTGGTTTGAATTCTTTTATAATTATCCCTCTCACCATGCAGTTGGGCTTGAGAAGTTAATTACAACCATTTTCATGCCTATAATGCAGAAATGATCTCTCTGTTACATACAGATTTGACAAGTCTTTAGGAGGATGTTAGATGATGGTGCTTGGCTATATATATCTCCTCCTCTTGACAGTAACTGAATGTCTATGAAGCAAGTGAATGTTTTAGAAAGTATTTCAATAATTTCTACATGAACACAGAGGAGGAACAGATGAAACTTTTCAAAGACTAGAGTTTCACAGCAAAGATGCTTAACATAAGCCTAGAAGTCATTGCAAATTGTCAGTGTTGTTAGTGAATGTATAGCAATTTGCTGTTTTGAAATAGCTATATTTGGTCTACTTCAAAATGCAGGAAATTTTATTTTAACAACTTTCTTCATCCTGTAAAATTTCATTAAAATGTACTGTAAGAACATCTAGTTTAAGAAGTGATCTCAAAATCCCCAAAATTCTCTGACATTTCTATTACAACTATATAGATGACAAATGGCTAAATAGGACTTACAAATATAAAGCTGCATTGTTTTCAGGATTGAAAAAAATAAGAATTTTAATATATTTTTCCTTAAAAGGACTGCCACTTAATAATATGTTTAAAATGCATTATGTTTGAACAATGATTTTGGATATTGACAATTGTTTTTATTTAGCATACTGCATTTCTATGTAAGAACTTATACAATTTATATAAATTGGAAATCAAGCCAAATGGATAAATTGAAACTATTGCTTAGCAATTTATATAGTTTAAAATGATAATATCACTACTGTAAGGTTAGCCATTTTTGAAAGTTCTCTTCCAAACCTCTAGAAATTTCATTTCCATTATCATACCCCCACGACTATGCAGACTTTTTGTAGTGTTTTTGCTTTACTCACTTTATTCCACTTAAGCTTTGGGAAGTCTACTTAATTTACAATTTTTAAATATATCAGAATTCTCCTCATATATGAATGGCACATCAGCATGTTGCTCATGGGGAAAATTCAGCTATCTACCAGCATCCAGGAAAGAAAATTTCAGCGTTTCAATTTTTTTTTTTTTTTTTTTGTCCAGACCTATGGTTAATTAAAGTGCTCATGATGCAAATTTAATTTTGTCATAAGTGAATATAAGCAAGTGGGCAATCACTACTCAAAATATAATATTCACATATTTTTGAGGATTGTATTTAGGCCACACATTAACTCTATTTTAGACAATCAATATAACTCCATTTCATTCAAAATCACTTTTCTGAATACCTGAATAATATCTCAGAGTCACAAAGATCTTTTAAGTATACCACATTTAAAACAAAACAAAACTGTGATGATCAGCTCTTGCAGTCATTTTGAATCCAGCTCCATGACTGTAGAACTTGGAAAGACCGCCAGCAACCTGGCCAACATCTCCACCACATGGGAGGACATGAACCAGAACAGCAACAAAGAGGAATTTGCAGAGGGCCAAAGATCAATGTGAGCAGGAATCAGTAGGATGGCGGCCTGCCCAATTAAAACCAATCTAGTAGGCCTCCCTGGTGGCTCAGACGGTTAAGCGCCGCACTGTGAAACTGTCCATAGCTTCTGCAGAGCTGGTTCCATCCCTGCTGGCTGGCGAGAATCCCACATGGCGAAGGACACCTCTCCAGTCTCACCTGCTGCTCCCCTCAGCAGTGTATTTCAGTCAGTCTGCCTGTTCTGTTCCCCGTTCTGTCTCTGGTGAATCCTCTCACCCTCCCACGCATCTGGCCTGCAACCCCAGTTCTTGAATAAAAATAAATAAATTATTAAAAAACAACCTAGTCACTGAAGACTGAAAATATTTGGATTTGTGGTTTTTTGAAGAAGCTGCTTCTCTTGATAAAGTTTTGGAATGCAAAGAACGCAAGCTGGATGGCAAATTGATAGACACCAAAATGGTCAAAGCTTTAAAAAGGAAGGAACCTCCCAAGAAGGTTTATGTGGTGGATTAAACCCAAGTATTAAACCCAAGTAATTTTCAAGAGAAAATTATTACATGTTGCCCAGAGGAAATAGGAACAAGTTAGATTTTCAACCCTCCCTCAACAATGTGTCCCCCGATTCATAATAGAGACCAGGCAAGGGGCCTGGACTGGGGTGTATATCGGGTGGGTTTATTTTGCCTCCTCCATCTATTAAGTCATTGCAAAGAACACAGTCTGTGGTAAGCCTGAGGACACCTTCCCCTAGAAGTTTAAAGATTCAAAACTTTCTTTTTATTTTGAGATATTTTATTTTTTCTTCCAAGCTGGTGGTGCTTTAACAATACAAAACTCCTTAAACAGCTGAAGGCTTTCTGTGAATCATACTCAGGTTCTCTGCATCAAACTAAAGTTGTGCATACAACTGACTTGAAGGCATACCCAAAACTGTCAGATAAATTACTGGGGATCAAAACCCCAAGATTCTTGGAACTTTGGCTTGGAAAAGAATCTGTAGGAGCAATTGCCTGAAATATTTCTGATAGGTTAACAAGGAGATTTATAGCTCCACCACAGATAAAATCTTTACCTTCAATTTCATTGTTGCCCTGAGGTGTTTTCTTACATTGAGCACATTTGTCCAGCTACAGAGGTTGAAAGGAGAAATAGTTGAATTTTCCAACCAAGCAAGCTTCTATAGACATATTTCCTCTAAATTTTTCTTGAAACTTAAACATTCCCTCGATACATTTTCTTTTCCTGAATTTTGTCACAGACACTTCAGAGAGGAATTAGCCGCTTTCTGTACTCTATCTGGAAATTTTCATAGTCATTTTTATAAGTTCATTGGATATATCTTTTAATTTTTCATATTACCATAGGCAACCATATTGCTGAGTATCCCATCCCTTTGTTACATGTGTCAACCTGTCTCAGGGTTAATAATCTTTTCCCTGACTTTAATCCTCGGGGACAGTGTCCATGCTATTTTCAGGCCTTTACCACCTTCTAATCTAGAACAAATATCAAGTATTTTAGATTTGGTAAAATTTTTAAGAGGCGTCATAATTTATTAACATGGCATTAGGTAACAGAAACACCACTTTATCCGATGACATTCATTTGTACCTTTTATTGAGCAGTCAATCACTGCACTAGTTTAAAATACTTGACTATGAACTGAATTTCTGTATAGATGATTTTCTTATTTTCTGAAAAGTTTCTGTTTATGCTATAGTTTTAAATTTTTCAAATAAAAATTAAAAACTTTTTCTACATATAAAACTTTCCCATTACTTACCTCAAAAATTATACTGGTATTTTGATGAGCTGCATTGAATTTCTATCTAAATTGAATGATAGGTTAAATAGCACATTTGAATTATGAAATACATTTGTACTTCCCCTCAAGTACAAGATATGAATTTCTATGTATTTGGACCATTCTTTCATGAGGTGGGATATGTAATCTCTGTATTTCTTCTTTTCTGTAGGGAAACTAAGTGTTTTCCCAAAATGACTTTCTTCTTTTTTTCTTTAAGCACAAATGAATTTTATGCATTTTTACATTTTGCCACATTTTTTTTCTTATTTGATTTATTTATATGCATCTTTTATATTGAATCTTACTTGCATATTTTCAAAATGAAATATTCACACTATAACTAAGTCTAGTGTATCTGTTTGTCATTATAACATTTTTACTCAAAGGAAAAGGGTTTTTCAATATATAAAGTTGAATAAATTGAGATAATATATTAAAATCACATCCAGGATTATAGCAATATTTAATTTAGTACATGGTGTCTGCATTATTTAACTTCTCATCTATAAATTGTTTATCTTCTTATGGAAAAGATGACCCCATACACACAGTTAACAGAAAAATTCTGGTTCCTTTGACTTCCTTGTTTTTCTCTCCTTCCTCCCACCTTCTGTTCTACATATTAGTCTGACCCAATGCAGCAGGTCCTCAGATAATGTCCTTTTATTATAATGTTGAAGAGAAAATAATAATCAAGTCCTGGTCAGGGCCAATGTCCATGTGGAGTTTGTGCCAGGTCTGTGTGAGTTTTCTCCAGATAGTCTGTTTCCTCCCACATCCCCAAAATGTAAACATCATGTCTAACTTGTCCCAGGCTGAGTAAGTGGAGGGGTGTGTGTGTGCTGGAAGGGTATCCTATGCTGAAAGGGTATCCTGTCTATCTAGCACCCTGAGCTGCCAGATCACTTGGGTCACATGTGACTATGAATAAGAATAAGCTTGGGCCTCCCCGGTGGCACAGTGGTTGAGCGCTGGGTTGCGAAGCTGCCCGCGGCCTCTGCGGCGCCGGTTCGATCCCCGGCTGCTCCCAGGAGGAGGGTCCCACATGGTGCGCGGACCTCTCCTGCCGCCCGCTGCTCAGCAGTGTACTTCGGTCCTTCTGCCTGCTCTGCTCCCCGCTCTGGCTCTGGTGAATTCTCTCACCCTTCCGCGCTTCTGACTGTACCCAGTGCATGTATAAATAAATAAATAATTAAAAAAAAAAAAATAAGAATAAGCATGTTGGAAATAAATGAGTAAATACAAATAATTGTTTAATACTAGAAGTATTTTGGGTCTCTTTTTAGATGTTTGATGATGGAACTTAACTCTTGTTTATATCAATTAGCTTATGGTAAAATTAGGTTCATTATATGTGATGTTGCATAAAGTTGTAGGTTTCAAGAACCATTGATAATGTTAAGTGAGGGCTTACTGTATGCAATTTCTGTATGGAGCACACATCATTCATCTCTCACTTTATTACTAATCTGAACAAAGTATGCTTAATTACACTTACTTTGAATAAAAAAATAGTAGTTTCCAATTTAATTTTCCCCTCTCTACAGTACTTATCTTTAAGTCAGAATCTTAATTTTTTTAGTTTAATTCTATAAGAATGTATTCTTATTATGCTTTATTAGGTAGTATGGTTCTTCCTTGACTAAACTATAGTACAAGTTACAACATTTGTTATATCATTTAGTCTTTGTATAATTTATTAAAGTTACTGTTTCCATCATTTATTTTCAGGAATTTTCTTTTAATAATAAAGCATATATGGTCAAAATTTTCCAAAGAAATATTTAGAAATGTCCCAAGTACTTTAGTGAGAATCCTTTTGATTTCTATATAATTCATCATTTTAATTTTCTATCTTCTTTCTTCTAGAGATTATGGGATATTTCTCAATTTTAAGTTATTCACTTGGGTTGCTATATATCCTTCTAGATCCCCTCTTGCTGTGCTCTGGACGATGTTGACCACAAAATAAATTTTTTTTAAAGATTTATTTATTCATGCATACAAGAACTGGGGTACAGGCCAGATGTGCAGAAGGGTGAGAGGATTCATCAGAGAGAGCAGGGAACAGAATAAGCAGACTGACTGAAATACACTGCTAAGGGGAGCAGCAGGTGAGACAGGAGAGGTCTGCCACACCATGTGGGTATCTTCCCAGCAGGCCAGGAATCAAACCCATGCTGCAGAGTCTGTGGACAGCTTCACAGCATTGTGCTCAACTGCCTGTGCCACCAGGAAAATATTTTGGATGTTGATATATGGCCATGAAACCTATACTCAGAGACAGCTCATGTTTGTTTTAAGGTTCAAATGTTATTGTTTTGAATTCTTAATTAAAAATGAGAGGCCACGAGTTTTTGTTTGAGGGGCTTAATACCTCAATTTTAATTAACACTATGCCTACCTGGTCAAATTCCTCTTTCTCTCTGAATTGATTCATCTTATTCTATCTTAGAAGGAAGTGTCAAGTCAGTACATAGTTTCTACTCATTTGGTTGTCACCTTGCAAGAGCATCTATACATCTCTTATTTTCGATATAAAACATTACTGATAACTACTGGCATAGGATAGCAAGGCAACATTTTTTTAATTCTTTATCATTTTTGATTACTTTGTCAAAGCTCACAAAAGCCAAAGACATATTCAATTATTCTGAAGTTATATTCATAATTACATCGTTTCTAAAATCTTATAATTTTACTATTGTTATATAAATGTTGAATCTCTGTTATAACCTGATTTAAAGCCTTGTTAATTATCAATCTACATGTAGTTATAAGTGCATGGGCACAACATAATATTTAGATTATATTTATTTACTAATATAATATTTAGATTATATTTATTTACTATATATCAATTTACCTAGATAATTATGTTGGCTTAAAAGTTGCTTTTATCAGAGCCCTCTGTCTGGTACCACAGAACCATCTAGATCAAGTGAAATGTAATGTTGAAATATGTCATGAACACAACTTTAGTATAAATATAAATTACTGCAATCTCTTTATATTTATTTGTTCTTTCTGACAAAATTTGTGTTTTCTAAAAAATTATGTCACAAAATAACCTAAAATAATTAGAAATATACTCTGGGTGTCCACTATTTGGGGTATTAGCAAACCCTCAAAATAGGAATGAAATATGTTGCAATGAGATCTCAAAATTGCAAGTTACAGAGTAACTAATCTTTGAATTACTTGATAATATCAAGTATAATTATCAAGTAATTTGCAGGAACATGTAATTCCCTTGTAATTATAGAGCTATTACAGATGCCCCACAAAATAGGATGCTGGTACAGCCTTACCAATCTGGAATCATTGCCTTCTTTCAACATTCATTGACCGAGATATTCATGAATGAAACATCTGACTTCTAAGTGAAAAGCTCCAGATGCATTATATACAATAGCCATTCTTTCAATCAAAATATGGTTTATTCTTATCATATGTAAAAAGAGATCCCTCCCACCATTGACTATAAAAACATTCTGAATTGCTATTCTGCATGTGTAATTATTACATGAAAATGGCACAAATACAGAAAAGTGGTTTACAATCTTATATTTAGTCTACCTTTCTGAAATGATCTCTGATTTGTGTACACTCAAAATTCTCTCTTGTCAAAGAATATTTGGAACTGAGAAACCAAGTATATTTGGGTAAAAATCTACAAATAAACTAATATAAATAAAATAAGAGCTTTTAATAGAAATAGTAACAATGTAACAAGAAATAAAATGGAAAATTGTAGTATTTTAAAATTTAAAAGAAAATTAGACATTGATTTTTATATCTCTGCTGCCTATTGGCTGAGTGTGTAGCATATTGGAGTCCTTGGCATTGTATGAAGGGAAGAACCCTAGCTCCTGATTTCACGTGGCCCTGTGCTTCAGTCTTCCTTTAAGCATCTGGACATTTAAACTAAAGGA